TGCAAAAAAAATTTAGAAAGAAAAATCATCAAAAATAAATTTTAGTGGGGGGCCGCGTATGAGTAGGCTGACTTATAGAAACCCCATCAAAATGTGTTAAAGACAACTAGATCAACCACTTTCTAAGTTTTGACTCTACATTTTTTATTTAGAACATTTTTCAACATGTGTCTATAATACTTTACAACAAAAAATTGACCTTACCAGTCAAGCAAAAGTTTTGAATAAATCCAATTTTCCATTGGAGCAATGAACTAGGGCACTGAGTCTTAGATCTGACCCAGTCGCCGTCTCCAGATGCTAGCCGTATGGACCTGACTTTCGAAGTATGCCCTACTTATTTATCGCTTCTCCTCGGTGGAAAATCCTCTTTTTCTAAAGGGTGCGGTTTGTATAGAGCCGAGGCTCTAAACAATCAAAGTAAAGCGCACATTCAAATAGTATCAAGAAATGTGGTTTCAATATTGGAAATTTTTTTGATAACCTTAAAATATATTTTCATCAATAATATAAAATTTTAAAGCTTAAAAAATAGAGTAGATCGAGCATATTTATGAAAACTTGGAAATCTTGAAAATTGACAGTCCAAAAATGCATTACAAGATGCACGATTTCCCAAACTTGAAATCTATTTTTTTCTCATGTCCATGCATCTTGATGTCGAGATGAACAATTTGAGTATATTTGGGCATCAAAATAACCTCTTCTGGTAAAATTTTTTAGATGCACTCGAATTTGATTGTTTAAAGCCTATGCTCTATATAAACTTTTTATATTTCTAAAATACTTTACTATGCTCTTCATATTTTTGATAAGATCATATTTGGTTTGTGCCTAAATATTTTGTTTCATGTGAAAATTGTGTTTCGTACATTTGTTTGGTGAATAATGCATATGCAAATAAATTTTGTAATTTTGTGTCCGTTCAATAACACTATTATAACCACTCATTTTAAAATTTAAGGGACAAGAATGGTTGTGACCTCTATGTACAAAAGATAAATGGTCATTTTGTAGACAATCCCTATTATATATTACTATATAATTATACGATTAATATACATTTATATAAAATGATATTATATATTTATATTCATATAAATATATAATATATATTTTATATTATGTATAATATCGAATATTTATATATAAATATTAACAATACAGTGTATACTATATAATATTTTACATTTAATATAAAAATAAAATTTAAATATTATTAAATATAGATTTAAATAAATATAACTATCTATTTTTAGCTATAATATTTAAACATTAAATGTATAGATTTAATATATTTATAAAATATATTTAAATACCAAACATATGTAATTCATTACATAGTTTTTTGAAACATGTTAACAAACATAGTGAAAAGAAAGCAAGCAAAAGTTTTTCCTGCAAAGTATTTACATATATAAATATTTTTTCTAGAGAAATATTTACGCACCAACTAAACGTGCCTTAAGTGTTTTTTCAAAAATTCTCTTTGATTTTGGGACCGGTGGCCTATGAGAAAGAGACTCCCTATGAGAAAGAGACTCCCTTATTGCTTGATATTGTTGTTGTTTTTGCAAACTAAGGCCCGGGAGGTCTCGAATCCCCTCCTCAAGTTTGGGTGTAGACAGTATGGTGCTCACCGTAGGGCTCAAATTTCTTGAAAACACCCCTTCAAAGCTCATTTTCGAGGGTATAATTTTCAGACGAAAATATCCAAATAAAAAATTTCATAAAAATCCAACGCAAAAAGAGTCCGCTAATTTTCGGGGGTATAATTTTCAGACGAAAATATCCAAATAAAAAATTTCATAAAAATCCAAAGCAAAAAGAGTCGGGAAACACACTGTATTTAAGCGCCCGGTAATTTTTTTGAAAATTTTCATAGGAGCTCCACTGTAAAGATGCTATGCGACTTTAAATCATGTCGTACTGGCCTTTCTTATCTGAAAATTTTGTGGGTACTCCATTTGAACCCCTTTTCCATTTGTGTCTCTCATTTCCTTAGTTGAGAAAAATAAAATATATAACTAACTCTATGTTTTATTAATTTATCATAGAAAATCATGTATTAGGGCCATTTTGCTTTCTCTTCTAAAACATAGGTGTTAGTGCCACAACTCCAATGAATATTAACTTGATACTCGATGAGAATAGAACTCGAGACCTCAAGTTGCAGCACGTGCCACCCTGATTAGGGCTCAGAATGGGTCAGATCGGGTTCGGATCTATTGGGATTCGGATTCAGATCTAAAATTTAGACATAGGATCTAGATCTAGATCTAATCGGATCTAAAAATTATTTTATATCTATAAAATAATATATCATAAAAACTATTACATAACATATATTTATATATAAAATAATGAAAAAGGCTAACAATAGGCGGAATGGAAGCCGTCAGATCTTCATCATGTAGTTCATAATGCATATCACAGTTTTAATTTTAATTATTTTTTTATAAATCGAATCATAATGAAATTTTAGACATGAGTACTAAAAAATAGGACGCACAAATAAAAAATATAAAAAAATATTTCTCAAAATTTAAAATGATCGAAATACCCCTGAAAACTGACGGGGGTAGTTTGGTTATTTTAAATTATCGAAACTAATTTTTTTATATTTTTTTATGGAGCGCAATAGTGTTAGGTATATACATCCAAAATTTCATATTAATCAGATTTACATAAAAAAAAATTAAAATTAAAATAGTGATTTGCAATCTGAACCGCATGATGAAGATTTGACGGCTCCAATTTCACTTATACACTATTCATTATAACTGGCAAGTTGTTGTAAGGCTTACCCTAAAATAATATATAATAATTTAATAACTAGGTCGGATCTAGATCGGATCCACTTGTACCCGGATACTTTTCGAATTATTAATCGGATCTAAATTTGAGTCCAAATCTTGGATCCATACCCAGATCCAGATAGAATTCAAAATCGGGTTTGGAATCCAAACCAGGTAAATTCTCACACCTAACCCTGTTCACCCTCGGCCACCATTCTTGGATATGTGGGGTAGACCAGGGTCCATAATTTTGAATCTATACGATGTTCATTCCTTCCCTCGGCTAAAACCTAACATATTGTTAATTTTGGAACCTCAAATTGGGGATATAACCTTTTCAAACCATAAATTACCCTCAATAGATAAAAATTCTAATTGCACCCTCTACGTACTTGAAAAAAAATAGATTAACCTAAATAATTTTCTCTTCTAATTGAACCCTCTATGCACTTGAAAAAAAAAAAATGTCTCAAGATTGAATAGAGACCCTCAAATTTTTAGAGGGTAAAGTTTTTAATTTTTAGAAAACTTAAATTTTTCGGTTTTTTGCTTTTGAAAATGATCATCTAGTGATTCTTAGGTGGTCTCCACAATTTCAACTAAAAAAAATGTGTGGTTTGTATAAAGCCGATGTTCTAAACAATCAACATAAAGCGCATCTTCAAATAGTGTGAAAGATGTTTCAATACTATAAATCTTTATGATATCGTGAAAATTTATTTTCATATCTAATTATAAAATTTAAAGCTTCAAAAATAGTGTAAATCGAGTAAATCTATGAACAATAAGAAAATCTTGAAAATTAACAAAAATGCATTACAAGATGCACTATTTCAAGACTTGAAATTCATTTTTTCTCATGTCCATGTATCTTGAGGTCAAGATGATCAATTTGAGGATTTTTGTGCATCCAAACAACCTCTTCTAATGAAATTTTTGATGTGCGCCTTAATTTGATTGTCTAGGGCCTCGCGCTTATATAAATTTTTTCCCTAAAAAAAATCCTCCCAGGTCTTGAGACAGAGAGTAAATATAAACTATGCTCCTGTGGAAGTGTAAGTGCCGGAATGTAAATTCTTCCCCAAATTTTAGTATCAAAAAGGAAACCTAGCTCAACCCTTGCTTTACGAGGCCTTTTATCTCAAAGCTTTTATCTCAAAGCTTTGACTCCACATTCCGTGGCATAGCCCGTATATAACTGTGCAACAATCTCCACCGTCCAATAATCCTCTCCCATTTTTCTCAGTCAATTTTTTTTATTTTGTTTGAGTCAATACAATACAATTCAACCAACCCCAATACCATAAATTCAACTCGAAATCTATTTCTTTATCCAAGCCACTCAATTAGCCATGAGAAATCCAACATTTGGTCACCAAAAATCCCATTTGGAACTTGGAAAGTCCACTTTCACCTATTGGCTAACTAATTTCAAGATTGGCTTCTGACCCATCCCCAATCAACCAACATTATGGGAAAGAGGCTTGGGTCGGTAGAACCCCACACACTTTAGTCACAAAACATGGTGGTTTTCATTCCCACCACTAACACCACCCCATTAATATCTTTAAAAAAAGCTAACTCTTAATTTACTTGGAAATATAGGTAAGGCTTGTCTTCTCCCAAATTACCCAAAAAAAAAAATACCAATCCCCTAATTCTATTTTATGGATAGAAGAAAAAAAATGGTTCGACTAGGTGTGGTGCACAGCAGTTTAGATGAGCATGTTGAATCCGGACAGCCCGTATGGCTGCTCCAGATCAAGCATTATGGGCCGCATTTCTTGAATGCGGGCCCCGCATCCATTGCGTGATCTGGACCGATCATGAAGTTGAGTGATCAAGATGCACATAGTACATGGCATCCGGCACGCACCATTGCATAGTGTCATTATTATGAAAGAAGATAATTCTATGAGCTGACCGCCCTTTTCCATATTTGGAGTGCCTAGACCGACCTATATATATATATATGCTCATGCAATATATTGAACAAACAAACAAATCCGATTATTTAGCACACTCTCCTTCAATCCGGCCTACACTTTATAGACACATATAATAATTCCCTGTTCTTGAACTTATATGCTAGTTAGTGTATCAGATTAATAGTAACCTATTTTGTAGAAATAATTGAGGGGAAAAAAAAAAAAATCAACAATGGATTTTTCCATAGTGGTAGTTTTCCCAAATAAAGAAATGGACCCTCATTAATCAAAACTTCAATATAACTTAGCTTGTACACTAACTAATCTTTTGCACCAAATAATTCAATCCAATAAATGAATGAATAAATCAAATAATTAGACCTCATGTGTACGTATTTATTTACAATTTTTTTTCCGCCATTTACCGTGTCCTCGTTCCCTCGCTCTTCCCAAAGGGGGGTCAAAATTGTAATTCTCATCGAATCCACTGAGAAAGTGGATTCCATTGACTTTTAACTGTGATCCATTCTTCTTCGTCTCTTTCCCAATTGGGCTTTCCCTTTGCTGCTAACTTCCTCAATCTTTCTGATGCAAAAGCCTCACATCCACCTCTCTCTGAATCTCTTTCCTTCACAGAGCTAGAGAGAGAAAAAGAGGAAGAGGAAGAGAGGCTCCATAGCTCAAGAGCCAGGACACTCTTGGGCGAGTTAGAGAGAGAAACTCCACATTCCTCTTTGGGTGGAGGAGAGAGAGAGGTAGAAACCCCATCTTCAAAATCAAGAGAAACAGGGGAAGGAGGAGCGTGAAAGGAAGGAGGCACGCTAGAGAGAGAAACATCTCTGACAAACCCATGTCCCTGCAATTGCTCAGCATTCCATCTCTCTTCAGGGTTTAAGCACAAGCACTTAGACAGAAAGTCCTTAGCCTGGGTAGATAACCAGTCAGGTACACAAGGCCCATTCTTGGCTCGCCCGATTCGAGCCATGGCCTCAAATGGGCTCAAGCCATCGAGCCCACCTAGGCTTGAGCCGTAGAGCCAAGGTGCTAACCCAGTTGCCATTTCGATGATGAGACAACCAAAAGACCAGATATCTGATTCCTGGCCTTGTCTCTCTCCTCGAGCAACCTCAGGAGCCATGAACAGAGGGGTCCCAGCCATTTCGTGTCCATCTCGAGCCCACTTTGCGCACCCCAGGTCCCCTATTTTAGCCAAACCATTAGGACCCAACAAAATGTTCTCCCCCTTGATGTCACCATGCACGAGCCCCAGCGTGTGGAGGTGGTGCAGGCCCTTGAGCACGGTTCCCGCATATCGCCGAATGACAGGCTCAGTCATGGCTCGAGCCCTCACAAGGTGGGCTAGCGTGCCGTGAGCCATGTACTCCATGAAGAGGTTGAAGGTGGGCTCGTCGTTGCCGCCCAGGGTCGTGCAGGACCCAAGGTGCGCTACGATGCACGGGTGGCGAATGGAGGAGAGGATGGCGCTCTCGCGCTGGAGTCCGGCAGAGCGAGCTGCGCCCATCGATTTCACGGCAAAGAGGGCGTTTGACGGTTTGGATTTCGCCAAGTAGATTGTGGCGGAGGAGCCTCGGCCGATCGCCGGGCCCTTAACCCACTCCATTCTCTCTCTACTATGCTATTGTTGTTGAGATTCAGGGCTCTTAGCTTCTCTCTGTTTTGATAGCACTTGGGCTCAGGGCTCTTAGCTTCTCTCTGTTTTGATAGCACTTGGGCTCAGGGCTCTTAGCTTCTCTCTGTTTTGATAGCACTTGGGCTCAGGGCTCTTAGCTTCTCTCTGTTTTGATAGCACTTGGGCTCAGGGCTCTTAGCTTCTCTCTGTTTTGATAGCACTTGGGCTCAGGGCTCTTAGCTTCTCTCTGTTTTGAGAGTAGTTCAGCTCTAATTATATGTCGAGAGTTGTTGCCTTGCCCCTCTCTCTCTACCAAGCACTTTCTCTCTCTAGTGGTTGTATGTTCGTTAGAGAGAGAAAAGAGAGACGGGGGGTTATTTATGGTGTGAGTTAGTTGAGCACCGGCCTTGAGTGGCCCGTCTATGTGGACTGATGCTTTGGCGTTGGGCCTTTCTCTTATCCACGTGTCCTACAGAGAGAGTAGACAGGCCTTAGGGACGGCCGTTGCTGCATACAGGGGAAAGGATATACTTGCACGCTCCGGCACGCTCTTTCTCTCTCCTCACTTCCTCTCTCTAACTTTTATCCCTCTTTCTTGCTTTTTTTTTTTTTTTTTTGGCTGCTCAGCGAAGGATACTCTTTCTTTTCTCTCTCTCTTGTTTTGGGCTGCAACCTATACACTCGGGTCTGCCTGCTCTCACTTATTCGTTGCAGCATGACAAGCAAAATAATGATATTAAATTCAAGCTCCCCACTTGCCTCTCCATTCCAATTTGGATAGCATGGGCCAAACTCGGGCCGGGCCAGTCTCGGATCTGTCCCAACCATTGACTCCATAGGGCATGCAGGCCTGACTAAGGCTTCTATTTAGGGCCAAGACAGGCTGAACCAGGCTTGCATTGGCGGGCTCGGCCCTCGGGCTTTATTTTGTGGCTCAAGCCTTATCTTTTAAAAATTGGGCGGCGTGGCCCATTGCCAGCCTCAATTCCAAAGCTCAAGAATCTTTGGTTTTTTATTTTTTTTTCTGCCCAAAATGACAATTTTTGTCTTGGGCAAAGCCTCTGTGGCCTTGGACCAGTCCTTCGGTACAAGAATCTCATGTCTTTGCCTCTTTGGAGATATATGCTAAGTAGTCTCTAAATAGTAAATGACAACTAAAACTTAGGTGTGGTTTGTATATCAAACAATAAGGCGCATTTTCGAAAGATGCTTTGAGTCATCTCTGAAGACTTGAAAATCTTGATAATTGATGGTCCAAAAAATATATTACAAGATGAATTATTTTCGATACTTAAAAATCCATTTTTGCTCATGTCCATGCATATTGAGATTGAGATGATCGATTTGAAAATTTTTAAGCATTAAAACAACCTCCTTTAATGAATTTTTGAGGTGCGCCTTAATTTGATTCTTTAAGGCCTCACCGTTATACAATTTTTTTTCCTAAAATTTTGGGGTTAAGCTGCAAAACTTGGACGAGACTAGAATAGCCATTTTTGTCCTTTGGAATTACAATTTTAGCATCTCATAAATAAAATGAATTTTATAAATTTTAAAAATTATTTATACTTTCATTTAGAATTTAATTCTTTTTCGTATTTCTTCTAACGTTGGATGTTTCTTAGTATGCCAAAAACCGCATAAACTTTCAAATGACATGATTTAACGCGTGCTATCACGGTCTTAGGCTTTAAATAAAATAAAATAAACTATTTTAAGCTAAAAGGTATAGCCACAACTAAAAAAAAGAAAATCTAGCATATATGGAAATAGTTGAAAATAAATTATTAAACTAATGTGCTACAAGTTAAAACTGTTTTGGAGGCATGAGATCTATTTTCTTTTTAGATCTAATTTGGAAGTCACGACGATCAAGATTTTTCAACATCATAATCACATTTTCTTTTGGGTTTTTATTATACAAAGTCTGTAACCTGTTTTTTGGTTTATAGTCTCACCAAAGATATGGCTGATCGATTAAGATTTATATAATTAATTCTAATTAATTAGAAATTTTTTTTGATGATGATGAAGAATCCCAATTAAAACTGAAAATACAAAAATACAGACTTAAAGAGGGAGAGAGTTAGTTCATAGAAATTGGTTTAAGAGAGAGAGAGAGAGTTAGTTCATAGAATTTGGCTTGAGAGAGAGAGAGAGAGAGTTAGTTCATAGAATTTGGTTTGATGGAAAGAGGGAAGGGATGGTGCAACGGCTTCTCGAGTTGTTGCAAAGTCGGACGCCACCATTTGCCCAAAAACCCCCAACCCTAATTTGCTAAATTCGGTAAACGCCCTTTCTTCCGTCCACGAGACGCTAGCACATACCCTTTCGGTAAAAAGTCGAGAGATTGTGGGGTCCACGACACGCCGTCCGCATTTGACACGTGGAGTCACTCGCATATTTGGTGAGTGGAGTCCAACTCCAATGCCTTTTCTCCTCTCTCTCTCTCTCTCCTCGTTTCTCTCTCTACCTGTTTCTCTCTCTTCGTGTGCAAGTAACACGGGGAGCACGTTTTGGGGCTTCTTGTGGTTGACGTCGTAGGCTGCTCTTGCCTCGTCAACGTGGCGATCGACAGTGGTCATGTTTGGCCACTAGGTAGGTACAGAGTAAGCATGTCGTAAGTCGTTAGCGCAGGCAACAGCCGGGCCTGGGCGGGGACCGCCGGAACCTAGCCCATATGGGTGACAATGTATACGACCCGACGGGTACGCCCAACCTCATGTTCAAGTATGGGTCCAAATTTTGGATCCGAATACTATTTAGGTCCAGGTCTAGATCTTACTGGACTCGTTCCGTACTTAACCCCGTACCCATAATCATAAGATATATGATGGCAATCATGGGCCTTTAAAAATCCATTAGATGTTCATATTGTCACAATATTAACAACATTTAAAGTATTATTGGCAAAGATGGCAATCATGGGCCTTTAGAAGTCCATTATATATTCATATTGTCACAATATTAACAACATTTAAAATATTATTGGCAAAGAAGAAGAAGCTCATAATCATAGGGTATATGATATTAAAAAAAAAAGACAAAAAAACAAATACTATCGGTCATAAAGTGGCAATGAATGTGAACATACCCGGATCTGATAGATTTAGATATAAGTCCAAATTTTAACGAAAATACTATTTGGGTTTGGGTCCAGGTCCAGGTCCAGGTCTAGGTCCAGTCGGACTCGACCTGTTGCCACTCCTACTAGCCAGGCTCTATTCTTATGAGGGCAGCCTAGGCCTCGTCGGATCGCACTATGTTAAGTAAAATTCAAGAAAAAAAATGCAAAAAAAAAAATGAAAAATAAAGCTGGGCCGGGCCTATCTTGGCATGACCTAAGCCCGACTCTCAGGTCACATTTTGTGGCCCAGGCCCTTAACCCGGCGTTATTCCTCTAAGGGCCGACCTTGGCCTATCTTGCCCTTGACCTAAGCCCAACTCCTAAGCCCAACTCCCGGATCATGTTTTGTGGCATAGGCCTATAGTTTTTAGGGGCGGACCACCGGCCCATTGCCACCAATGCAAGTCGTACCATTTATCTCTCTCTTCGTCTCTCTTCCCCTCTCTCCCCTTGGCACAATCAGGTCATGCGTGCCTGTCTACTTGTGTCAGTTGCTCGTTTTGCTCGTTTTTTGAATAGTGACGTTTATAGTTCTAGTCTTGTACAAGTCTACCTCTGTCTCTCTCTTACAAGAAGGAGGTCGTACTCATCTATATCTTCCTCTCATTTAGTTTTAGTAGAACATTTTTTCGTTTCCAACTATTCCTAATCACTTGTTTTATATCACTATTTTTAAAACTAGGGGGATGGGGATGGGGATGGGGATGGCAATGGACCGGGACCTATGTCCTGGTGTGGGTTAAAAAATTGGATCTGGTGGGTCGGATATGAGTTTGAATCCAGATTAAAATCATATTTACTTTTTGAATCCTAATCTAAATCCCAATAAATCCGGACCCGATCCAACCCATTCTCAACCCTAACTATAAGCATGTCATTTCCTCTCGGTCTCTCTCTCATGTAAATTTTCCTTACCATAAGCATGTCATTGCCTCTCTCTCTATGCATATTTTCCTTACTACAAGCATGTCATTGCCTCTCTCTCTCTCTTTCTCTCTCTCTAGCTAGTTTGCCTTAACTTCTCAGAGACTCTTTGTAAGCTGACAAATAATAATTTCAACTTTATGCACAAGGTTATATGTTACTCAACTTAGGTGATAGCCGCCATTCCTTATAATGGATTACTACATGTGAAGCAATGGAAAAGTGTTCATTTTTTTATTCAATGAATTGAAGTAAAGGTTCAAAGCATCCCTCACTAAGGCTTCCAAACAAAACATCTAAGCTTGCCCCTTAAGCTTTCTCAAAAACACTAAGAACCAAGGGATATTTAGAAAGAATATCCCACAAGGAGTTATAATGACAAATCTTGTGAATTTAAGTTGGACAAAATTTGATTTGATTGATAATAACCTCAACTAAAATTAATTTTATTAATTTTCCAATTTTGGGAAACTAGGATGTTTTTTTTTTTATCGATACGCACTTACCATGAAGACATAAATTATATCTATTGCATTGTAAATTATTGTATAAGGAAGGCAGACGTTTTATTTCTTTTACTTTTAATTAAAAATGTATTTTCTTTTTAGTAATATTACCAATGCTATTTTATCCTTTTCATTTTCTTCTACCTCTTTGTTGATTTCTAAGTACAAAAAAAAAAAATGAAGAGTAAAAGATAGGTGGTAGTATTTTAAAACCCGGTAATTTTTAATCTGAATCGTTTGTACCAATAGGAATCAGGCGGGACTGAACCAATTCTAAAATGGTACGGGTCCCTACCCGTTTCCACCCCAAAACCTCCCTTCTATTTTTTTTTTTTTTTCTATTTTTTTAAACATATCTAATGTTTTCTTTTAGGTCCCCTCTAAATCCCCACCCCATAAACCCATATTTAAGTTTTTATTTTATTTTATTTATTTATTGATATTTTCTCAATCATCGAACCTATCCAGAGCCAATCCAACACAGATTTGTCGATTAATGATCTACCCATTTAACAAAGTTTTTAAACATTAGGTGGCACTAATCCTCGGAGAACTGCAATTCGTTTCATTCTTGGTCTATGAAATTTGCCAATAAGAAAAAAAAAAAGACGCCTTCATGGGGATTAGCTCTTCAAGTATTTCATAAATGCATTAATCACCGTCCAGTTGATGGATGCCCATACCGTCTTCCAAGTGAAATCGCAGACCGGTGAGTCCCACATTCTCTCCATCACCATCTAACCGATTTATTGGAATGTAATGACCTCATATTCCAT